TTCTGTTTACGTGATTTGTTTTCTAATCTATCTTGTCTAATTTAGGAAATTGTGTAACCGATACGATCAGAATTTCTGGGGTTTGGCTATTCCCCAAAATTGTTTTCAAAATACGGCAAGAATTTTCGAAAAAAAATATTTTTCTTCTATATTTTCCAAAGAAAATAGCTTGTTTTTCTTTTGGTCTTTGTTTCTTGTTGTATTTCTTAGTCTAGAATCTTTTTTCTTAGTGGAGTTTTACTAGTTTCCTAATCTAGTTTCGGAGTTTTCTATAGCTTTTCTTTAGCTCCAAATTTGGTCCGAATGATCTACAGAAAGAGTTGTATGAATTGTTTAAATAGTTTTTTTATCTTTTTTTAAATCTATATCTGCTAGTCGAAATGAAATAGTATTAGTGAACATGTTAAGTACTACATTAATATATATTATATCAATATCTTTTATATATAACAAATTTAATGCTTATACATAGCTTAAATTCATATAGTCAATATTTTACAAGAATACATTTTCTAAAATATTACTGCTCAGAAATTAAAAACCTAAATATTAACTAATTGAGTCAAACTATTTACATAAAAAATATCTATTTATAAAATTATACAAAATTGTCAAGAATATGAGACTTTGATATTAGAACAAGTAAAGCTTTTACTCATATATTAGTAAGCTCAGTTAATATTTCTTATTATTAACTTTAATCAATAACTCTTATCAGTTAAGTGAGTATTGGTAGAAATGTCTTTTACTTTATATAACTTATACTTTAAATAGTTTTTTAAAAATCTTATTATATCCAAACTTAGTTAACATCTGATGTTCAAATATTTAGCAAATGCTAAATTTGTAAACTCGTAGGAGTTATGATTACATTTGTAGTTCGTATAATTTCCACTTACATTACATTTTATCGTGTTATAATCCATAAAGAATATTGGGTATAGCTCATGATAGCTAGTGTTGTCAAATGTCTTGCATATTGGTAATTGTCACTTCTTTTTATTATATTATTTATTACCCGTAGAGTTTCAATTCAGATAAATCTGTTATCCATCCAAATTTATCCGGATATCCATTTACTATTAATATCGGATAATTAACTGGATATTAATAGTAAATGGATATCTAGATATGGATATCTGATGGATAAATGGATAAATGGATTATGGATTGAAACTCTAATTACCTGATATAATAAATAATATAATAAATTGATGCGACAATTACCAATATGCAAGACATTTGACAACACTGATGACGGCTCATCTTACAATTTTCAGATGGCCGGGGGAAAGTAGTCCATTTGTTGGTTTTGATATTGCAGAACCAAATGGAAAAAAGCTGTTAGAAGCACTATCGCTATAAATACATAAATGAAAATTAATATGATTGGTTAATACGTATCAAGTAACGGTAAGCACTTTTGAAGTTGTCTGAACACGTGAATATGCAATCCCTCTTCACAGATTTCCGGACCGACGACAATCGCTCAACAAAGATACTATAAATCGATCAGAACTAATGCAAACTATGCATCTTTGGTTCCGATCGCGCGCTGTACGTAGTGACCGCATAATCACGTGTCCAAACAACTATTCGGTGTTGGCAATCGGTACTGGTATGATAAACCAATTCAACAAATATGTCTTATTATTGCAAATGAATCGGTATCGGTATCATTTTTTATAGTGAAATCCCCGAATTCCGGGTTATATTTTACTTAACCAATCAAATCATTATGCTAAATTTGATTTGATATTTGATATCAATTAAAAAGATTTCTTTTTTACAAATTTTTATACCTAATATCGTAAAATAATATATAATATATATATATATATAAAACAATGATTTATGTTGTATACCAAACAAAATGCATATGATAGTAAAAATAATATAGTTTGAGATCGTGTAACCGATATTACTGTACTGGTAATTAAATTCCGTTTCTTCTCTTTTCCTCTTCATCCGTCTGTATTAAAGAACGCTATTTCGATTTATTTATTTTTTTTGTATTCAATCTTAATCATGACACATATATTCGTGATAAACTAGTGTAGTAAGCCTCAATCCAAAATACATTGATATTACGGATCTGCTATCCACATTTAATCTGAATTTATCGGATCAATCCGAATTAGCCGGATCGAAAAACTAGTTGCAATTACGCTTTAATTTATATAAGTACTGTACAACTCTTTATTAGTTTATTTTTTTTTTTTAAAAAAAAAAAAATGTCAACTGAGATTATATAAGAGACTATAAGCACTTAAAACATAACAAAAGTATGTTCGGAAGGTTTAATTTACATGCAGAAAGTCAACTTACCATGTAATTCAGCAGACAACTTGGTCTTATGATATCCGAGATGATAAATCAAATCGCAAGATCACAAAACTTATCTCAAATTTTGTAAATATCCAGAAAGAAAATGACAGCAAATCACATGATTAATAGACTAACGCTCTTATAACACCGTACTACTATTTATAAATTAAAAGGGCCATAGTTTTTTAACGTAACTAATCACCCCAATGAAAATGCACCATTTTCATTTCCAAATAAAGAATTCCAAAACTCCGTGGGGCTAACTATATAGAATCATGTGATATTACAAATTCTCCTTTGATCTGATATAATAGTGTGGATGTTCAAAAAATTATTCTATTCAAATAATTATACGCTTAAATGTCTCAAATTATATCTCAAATTTATTACAAGTTCAAAAGTGCTAAAGATTATGATACACTTACATTTGACGGGCTGGGAATCTCTGTATTCGACGCCAAAAAAGAAATCCTGACTGCAAAAAAATTAAAAGGAAATGACTTTGACATTATAGTATCTCATGCTGAATCAGGTGAAGGTAAGATCTAAGTTTTTATTGCTATAAAAACTTGGCAATGCCCTTTGTTATATTTCAAAGAGGTCAAACCATTCAAATCGAAAAAAAAATTAAACTATTAATAGATTATCAGGAAGATACTGCAACTATACCAAGGAATACCCCAATTGTAGTGAAGCGCGTCCCAACTAAACCTGGGAAAGGAACCGCACATCGTTATTTGGAAGGTGGAGGACCTACAACACAGCGTAATTATGTATCTAATAACAGAGGAAATATGGTATCATCTAATGGGTAAATATTTAATTATTAATTTTTTGTTCTGATTTTTAAATTATCTTTTGATTTACAAAAAAAAAAAAAATTTAAAACATATAGGTCAATGTCAAAAACATTTGACCCATCAAAGCAACCCCAACAACAGGTTTCTCGCTTAACTCCAACTCCTGCTTCTTCTTCTCAACAAACAGATGAAGACCAAACTGAAGATGATAAAATTCAAGCAATGTTTGCACAATCAAAAGAGTTTTGGGAGATAACTCAAGAACAGATGGCTTCGTAAGTTTTATAAAATATTATTTATTATAATAAAAATATATATTAAAATGTAAATAATATTTTATAATGTCCCTTTATTATATATTTTATTAGAAAACCAGCACTTAGGAGACCTAATCAAGTTCGTCCGTCAGTCAAGCCACCGGTTCAAAAAACTTTGCCACCAAATTATGTATGCTATAGATGTGGGCAGAAGGGTATTTATTATTTTCACATTAAAGTTATAAATGTATATACTTTTAAAATAGCTTGTTATATTAAAAATTTGATAATTTGAAATTTTTATAGGTCACTGGATTCAAGCGTGTCCGACAAATGGCGACCGATCCTTTGATCATATGAAGGTCCGAAAAACTACTGGTATACCGAGAAGTTTTTTACAAAAAGTAGAACAAGTACCACCAGGGAAAGGTGTTCTTGTCACACAAGATGGAAACCTAGTGATTGCACAAGCAAATGAGTAAGCATCAAAGATTTCATAATTATAACATATAAATATAAATATAATATATAATTATTAACGTTATTATTAATTTTATGTAGGGCTGCATGGCAAAAGTTCCATGCTCGTCAGAAATCATATGTAACTTCCAACGAAGTTCTTGAAGATACACTTCCGATTCCAGCCGAACTTCAATGCATGTTATGTTCTCGACTTCTGAAAGAAGCTGTTATTACTCCGTGTTGTCGGGCTTCATTTTGTGATGAATGTACGTATCGTTATTGTTGTCCATATAGACAACACTTTTTAGAATTGTTTTACGAGATTTATAGAAAGTTTAGACAGGTTAGAGTAGACAAAATATTATGGGTTCTTTTGTTTTATATTTTTCCCCTTAATTTTATTGCAAATTATATTTTAGTTTTGTTTGCAATTTATCTGCTGCAAAATAAATATAACCCTTTCATTTTTATTTCTCGAGGTTCAAAATTTTTAAAAATCTCGAGGTCTAGTTTAGTGAATCTGAATGATTATCAAATTCCAAAGTTTTTTTTTTTTCTTTTTTTTTTTCATCAATCCTATGGCATGTGAAAGTATAGATAGTTAGTGATACCTTAATTTGAAATGCTTATCAAAAATTTTATGAAAATGAGATTCCATAATGGGTACGAGTTCTTTTCAAAGCCAATTTGAATATAAATCCATACTAGAAAATAATATCAAAATAATATAATGGATTATTTTCTTTTGGCAATCAAGCATTTCAATTTAAGCTATCGCAAAAAAAAAAAAAAAAAAAAAGTTTTTAAGTGATCAAAAAAAAACACAAAATGGAATATTTTTATAAGGGAAAATTAACACTTTTGTTCAAGGAACCTTTGTTTTAATTTGAATACTAACTTTACAGCACCTTATATCAAAAAATCTACTCGATAAAAAAAAAAAAAATTCAAGCTAGGTTATCGTTCACTAACAAATTGCTTTCACTATTTTTTTAATAATAACAAAATATGTAAAATAAAATGGACAAAAAAAAAAAAAATTAAATTATCATAGGTATTCGCCACGCTCTAATTAATCCCGAACAAGACGATCAACAGTTCAAGTGTCCAAATTGTCAATCTCAATTGGTTCCTGATGAATTATTACCAAACAAGACAGCTCGAGAGGCAGTAGATGGTCATCTAAGAGATTGGGCTAGACGTAGAAATGAACCTACCGTTCCAGAAATTAATGAAGAAGATGAAGGAAATAATATGGAAGTTATGTTAGAAAATTCATTGATAGTTAATAATAATGTAGATCTTTTAATAGAAAAAGATACTACAGATTCTATAAATGATCTTATTATAAAAACTGAAGAAAAAGAAAAAAGTGTAAGTGGTTTATCAGAAACAGTACTTGATAATGTAGAGAATTCTAGTCAATCTCCTCAAATATCAAAAGTAAAGGTCGAGTCGGTATGTTTATATTTTAAACTATCCCTAAAAAAAATATATATATATATTAAATGGAATATATTAAATAGAATATGTTTTTTTTACATATTTTCAGAATGCTAAAGCAGATTTACCAAAGAAGCCAATACATGATCTTCCACCTATCCCATCACAATCACAAATACCAACACATCAATCTCAATCACATTCATCACAACAATCTTTTCAACAATCACAAATGCGAAATCAATATTCAAATACTGCTGGAAAATCTTTTGGACAAAATCCTATGGCATCACAAGGATATGGACAATTTGGTTATTATAATGATTATGGATTTGGTTATGATCAAAATCAAGGATATTGGTACGATGATGGTAAGAAAAAATTAAAAATAAAAAATAAATTGTTTTAGATTGATGAATAATTCTATTAAATTTTTTTTTTTTTTTTTTTTTTTTTTTAATCAAAAATATTAATGTAATTAGGTTATCCTCAAATGAGTATGAATATGATGAATGGACCAGGTTATTACGATCCATCATACTTTGATTCAGGGTTTTATCCCGCTGAACCATTCCCTTCACAACCACAATTCATGCCACATTTTAGACCCCCAGTATATGAGGAATTTTGGGATAGACCAATTATGCCACCACAAGGTAATTTTGTACCATTTGCAGGAAATATGGGTACTGGAATGGGTGGTAATGCAGGAATGCAACCATTTAGAGGTGGTAACTTTCGTGGAGGGTTTTCACGTGGTAGTTTTCCGAGCCGCGCTCGTGGCCGTGGAAGGGGAACTAGTCCTGGATATTTTAATGATCGATCATCATTTGGGAGTGGTCGTGGAATTGGTGATATCAGAAGAGAATCAAGTGTTCCTCCTTCAATTGGAAGACGTGATATGTAAGTTAAATTAAATTAGATTTGTATATATGCATCATAAAAATTAATGATTATTATATTATATTTTAGGTCTGAAAGATCTGATTATCGTGATGATGAATTAAAATATGAAGATGAACGACTTGTCGATGATTTTGGACGCGACTTGGCACGGCGTAAATCGTCTGCATCGCGTATTTCTGCAGAAAGAGATATTGAAATTCGTGATAAAAAGTCTCCTTCTCATACATCTGATCGTGAGAGACATGAAAGACATGACAGGGATGTGATACAAGATGATGATATAGAAAATAGAAGACTTAGAGAAAAAGCACCAACTCGTAGCAGAAGTAAAGAAAGATTACATAGGAGTAGAAGTCGAAGTAGATCTCATCATCAATCATCACGGAGACATCATGATGATTCACATCATAGCAGATCTCCTTTAAGGCATGATCACTCATCTCCTGATGTTCGACGAAAGTCATCAATATCTTCAAGGCGTCGCAGTCGTAGTCGAGATACATTCGCTGATAGAAAAGAAGATCGTCGATATTCTGCAGATCGCAGATATTACGAGGATCGTCGGTATTCCATGCCAGAAAAAAGGGAAGATAGGCGAGATTCTAATTTATCTGATCGAAGAGAAAATAGACGAGATTCTAATATATCTGATAGAAGAGGTGATAGGCGAAGTTCCGTTATACCAGAAAGGAGAGATGATAGACGTGAATCAACAAATGACAGACGAGATGATCGCCGTGAATCATATAGTTCACGCTACGAAAAAAATGGATCTATCAATGACAAGAGAGATCCTAAACTTGATTCAATGGATAATCGGAAAGATATAGATGTGCATCATGATTCAATGGATAATAGGAAAGACATAGATGTGCATGATGGTAGGGTTAGTCCTCCAGCATCAGCTGAACAACTTTCAGAAGATATTGACCGTCGAACGCGGTCACGTTCCCCCAAGCCAATATTAGCTCAAGAAGAATTAGTACCTGATGATGGAATAGATGAAGAAGATGACAACGTTATTGACGTATCCACAAATGATGATGAAACCCTACTATTAGAAGATGATGAAATGTCCTTTATGAATGATGATCGACCTACTACACCTCCTTCTCCCGAAAAATATCCTTCATCGTCACCTGAAAAACGACGTCATTCATCGTCTCACAAACATCGAAATAGTAAATATCATCGCTCACATCATCGACATGAGTCCCCCGAAAAAGAAGATCAAGACAAAAGGGGATCTCGATCTAAGCATTTGACTACTTCTTCCAAAGATGATTATCGCAATAGTAATCATAAACATAAAAAACGTCATATATCCTACCATCAAAGTCGACATAGTCATAGTAACAGAACTAAAGATGGAGAAACCAGGCGTAGTAGGCATAGAGAAAGTCCAGAAACACATCGATATCGCAGCAGGTCAAGAGAGAGGGATGATCGCAGATAGTATAAGAATTAATAAATAAAAATGTTTTTTTTAAAAAATAATAAAACACATGATATAAGAATCATGTTTTTTAATATATGTACTCTATGTTTTGTATATTGTACATATGCAAAATTGGACAATTAAAATATAATTTTAATGGAAGAAATTCTTTGAATTCGATTTGACAAGTTGTATTTTATGCTGACATTTTTTTTTTTATATGAATTTTGCGTTATCGCTTGTCACAGGATTTTAAATTTAATGTTGTTTGTATTTTTTGAACTAAAATTTACAATTTACTCGAATTCAATGCGTTATTTTTATCTTTTATTCGAAAAATTACTATTTGAAAAATAAAATTTTAACTACACATTGCTCTAGTTATATCAACATTTTTTAAAAATGTGTATTCAAATTAATTTTGCAATTTTATATTTATATTATTTCAGTTAACAATTTAGTTTTAACAGTTAATGAATTTAATAGATTTTTTTTTTTTTTTTTTCAGCCTTTTGGCAATTATGCTACAACTTTATTGTAGTAATTGGAAAGTTTCTACATTACAATCCTAAAGCCTAAGCTAATACTATCCCAAGTTGTAATTCATCTAGTTACCAAATAGTACCTAGATACAATCTGCTATACTTAACAATTCTCTTAATACCAGAGTATAAGAACTACATCTTTCTTTTAATATTTTACTGAAGTATGTTGATAGTGCATTATGACTGCTTGTTATAATTAATCTTGCTTAAGGAAAACTCAAAAATAAGAAAAGAAAAGAAAAAATAAATATAAAGAAAAATGAAAAAGAGAGACTTAGATAGAAAAAATTTATAAGTAAAGTTAATAAATTTTTTTTAAATGTTACTTTACTCATAAATATTATATAAAATACTAACACTATATTCTATATCTCTTAATTAATTTGCTTCTTACGCTATTAATTTAAATTAGTTATGATCTGTGATTGGTTTAATTACATGTGTTATCTATTTAGTAAACAAAACAGATCACCTGTTTTGTTTACATAATCTTTTCTCAAAATAGATTGGTAGTACAAATATTGATCCTTTTACAAGGAGTAGTCAAATCCCTACTTTTTATAAAATAAATTTGTAAAAAGATTTTGATATCAATGTAGAGAGATATTTTGTATTTTTTGAGTTATAGAAAGGACCAGAAGAAGATAAGTACGAAAATTCTAACTAGAGTTAAAAAATAGTAGTACTACTTAATCTAGTCTAAGCAGTTTTAGTAAAGCTTATATTCAGTTTTTGTTTTAGCTATGAGTAAACGAAGAAATACTCAGACCTGCTAAAGTCAGTAGCTTTGCTTCAGTAGGCTACTTACAAACTAGTGGTATTAGTATAATACTAAACTCAAACTAGTTATGAGCTTTATTTTCTGCACTGTACAATAATATTTCTTGCTAGGTTGTTGTTTTTAAATTTTTATTGTTGCTCTGTATTAGGTTTTAGTAATCAGCAGAAAGAGTAATGTGAATTTAATAGATTTAATTTTGGTTTTAAGTATATTTATTTAATATAAATATATTTTTTTTTTAAATTCAGTATTTATGCTAATATTTTATTTAATCAAGTTTTAATTCATAACTAAAATATTGCTATTTAGTATTATATAATTAGTGATTATTAATGTAAATCATTAACTCTTTCCATAGATCACTTGTACCAAAACTTCTCAAAAATATTTTGTTATAACTAAAAACTTTATTAAGTGAACAACCTTTAGACTTCTAAGCAAAATTGTTCTATACTAGATTTTGCTTTAGAATAGTCTAATTTTATATCTCTCAGACTAAAACTCGTCAAGATATTCTACTTAAACTATTAAAACAGTCTTCTAAAAATTTCTCAACTTCTATTAAGTTATTAGCATTTGCTCATTAAAAGAGTTATGTTTAGCTCAACTCAGGCTTCATTTTGATATAAATTTTACTTAAAATGAACAAAAACTTAGCATTTTACTCTAAAAAAACTGCTTTAGAGCTTTTTTCTTAAAATTTATTCTACTTTGTTCTTTTTCTCTTTACCTCCTCCAAAACCTAGGTCTAGGTCATGTGACAGCTCAGGAAAAACCATTGGTTCACCCAAAAATCACATATTCCTTTTAAATCTCAAACTAATTTAGCACAAATTAACTATTTACTTTTCTATTTTCTTTTTAATTTACACTGCATATAGTACAAATCTAACCTATTTTTAACCTAGTATCACATACTCGTGCTCTGTACTATATCTGCTATACTAGCTACACTAGCCACCAAGCTACACTAGCCACCAAGCCACACTAGTCACACTTTGTGTTATATCACGTTATATATATTACATGAAACAAAAAATACTACTTTGTGTATCTTTTTCCGATTTCATCCTTTTAAGCTCTAAATATGCCAACTCTAATTAGTCAGGAATCTGACTTCTACGATATTAACTACTACTACTCCAAATATAAGGATCACTTTGGAGTAGTAATGAATGAAAGTAAAATATCTTCTCTTCATGTTTTAGTACAAAACATCAAACCTACCCACTATGAAGGAAACATTAAAAAACTCCACTACTTCCTTATCCCCTTTTAACCTATTATTACTATATATTTTTGTGGTCAATACCATACAAGTTTCACCTCTCGTCACTATACTCTAACTTATACTACCTTGGGAAATCCTGAAGCAATAGACATTTCACCTACTACAATCTCTGTAAAAAACTACAAAAAAATTACTAATAAACTCATCTCTTCCTTCCCCTATTACTCGACCCACTCTTACTATTCTTTTCTCAGAATTCAAAACTGATACAACTCCCACAACTATCCAGGCATACTCCCAACATTCACATACCTGTGTTATCTGCAAAACCAAAAACCTACCATATGTCTACACTACTAATAATAAACATGCACCTAACTATACAATCTCTATACTCTTTAAAACTCGTCTTATTCACTGTACTTGTATTTCAAATATCATTAATATTCTAATTAAACCCCTCGAACAAACCAAACCTCTTTCTGATAAACAAAAAAATGTTGCAATCATTCTCGCTCTTAAGCAAATGTCATCAGTAGAAAAACTAGCCTGCTACAAATTTCTAAAAATCTACAAAAAACCAAATACTCAAAATCACAATAATACCGATGAAAACAACAATAACAATAATGACAATAACAATGATAATAACAACAACAACAATAATAACAATAATAACAATAATGGCAACAAAACCAATAGCAACAATAATGACAAACCAAACAAATGTAATAATTCTAATGACCTTGACTGGTTCAAAACCTTCCTAATTACCAAGGAAATAGAAAATAATACTAAACTTAATACACCCCTCTCTCAACAAATTTTCAGCTTTATTAAACCCTATCTTATTGATTTTACTCTTAGCAAAATTATCCAATCCATCTTCTCAAACAAAACTTCTTCCAAATACTTCTTTAAATACTTGCTTAAAACCCTTGCAGGCTATTGTCCTGAGTTCTTAACCAACTTTGTATTCAAAACCAACTCTACTATTAATACAAATACTCCAATCCCTTTTGAAATTCTTCATGATATCTTTAAACTTCTTCTAGCTAAATTTACATCTGTACTTTTCACTAAACTCAATTACAAAAAAATTTTTCAATCTTATTATAATATACCACTTTACACACCATTAAACTGACTACAAATATTTTTAAACCTTGCTCGCCTTCACCTCTTTCTTAATTCAACCTATCAAACTATTCATGCTAAAAAATTTGCAAAGGATCTAAACATCATGCCTATTCACCTTATACCTAATTACTTCATTAGCCACAATGCAATTAATACTAACTCTCTTTAAATCTAAAATAATAACAAATTTAATGTTAATATCTTTCTTAATATCTATACCAAATTATTTCTTAATACATTTTAAATTCTATCACTGAAGCCTTTTAAAGAAGACTTTAATACATGGTTTAAAAAATTTTTTAATATCTATAAGCGTCAATCAGAAAACATTATCAAATCCAAAGTTTATAACTTTCTAAAACATCAAATTGTAACCAAATATACTGAGGAACACAAAAAACTTTTACCTAAAACATTTGATATTATTTCTATTAATTCTCTCTAAGAGTATACCTTGCTTTGCAGAAAGGCTGCTCTTTTCCACATGCATACTTGCAATGCAGACAAGGATACTAAATGCTCTTTTATTCCTATAGTTACTGAACACAACTTCTGAAATATTTCTTTACTTTTCTTTACTGAATCCTTCAAAAAATTTCCTACTCCACATATCAAATCTACAAATCAAAACAAAAACTCCTGGATATTTCCAAAACTTGACTTTTCTATTTTTCAAAAAAATAACTAATACTTTGCTTCTTTCAAAATTCCTACTTCAACAAGCTTGTTCCATCAGCTTGCTAAAACAGCTGAGGAGGAATTTATAAAAAATAATAATACTGAAACTAACATCAAATGTCAAACATTCTACTTCTACTAATACTTCAAAGCCTTTCTCCACTATGCTGCCCAAAATGATGAAATTCTTAACCTCTCCTCAACTCAAGCTATTCAAAAAATTCTATCTCAAACTACTGATACACATCATTTAGCCCGAATTCTTACCTACTTTGATATCCTTTAATATAAGAACAATATTTCAATTGCTTTAATTCAGAAAAAATACAAAGAAATCTTCTACTCTTAATCTACCAAACTCATTATCCAAAAACTCAACTTTATTCTATCTAAAGAGATTAACGAACTTGATCTCTTTAATTCTTTCTCTTCTAATAATTCTTTTCAATAAAAACTTTTGCAAACCTCATAAATACAGCTGCCACCTCTAAAATAATGATATCCTTCATGTTATATGAGCTATTTTTAGAGGAGAATAATAGAAGTAGACAGGCAGTTAAGCCTATTTCTGTAAAGGACCAATTACATGATGATCAGACTCAACATACAGAGCAGGCTTTGGTATTCTTCGCAACTGTGAGAA